CACATGATTATGATTCTTTTCAAGTAGAAGTAACAATGCCTAAAAAGTCAGAGCTTGAAAGTTACTTGGATGATCCCAAGTTGGATAGGAATTCTGAGTTAGATATTTTACATTATTGGAAATTAACCAGTTCAGGTTTCCTCAAGTCTTAAGAATGGCTCGTGATGTTTTGTGCATACTGATTTCCACTGTGGCATCTGAAAGTACTTTTAACAATAGTGGTCGAGTTCTCGACCAATATCGAAGTGCATTGAAACATGATATTGTGGAAGCGTTGGTATGCACAAAAGATTGGTTGTTTGGTGATCAAGGTAACAATTGTTACTTTATTGAATTTAGTGTATAAGTGTATAACTAGAACTATAAAAGGTAACAAATTCATATTGTTTCTTTTGTAGTAGATACAAAAGATCTAGAGCTTGATGCGGTGACAGATGATATAATGGGTTTTCAATTCGACAGAACTCAAACGATCAACCCTAAAGAGTAAGTGAATTCAGCATCTTAAGTCTTAACCTTTTTGAGTTTTGAGACATTGTTCTAGTGTTCTAATTTATTCTGAGATATTGGTGTAGTGTTCTATGTTGAGAAGTGAGAACTAAGAGTCTGAGACAATCTGGTTTTTATTCTTCACTGCTTTATGTTGTTAATGTTAAGCTTGCTGCTGCTGACCGTTGGTGGCTTTATCTGTATTCTGTCATTGTTTTGATTAATTTCTTCTTCTCTGCTTTATGTTAATTTTCTAATAGCCGGTGTTGGTGTTGTTGAATGCCGGTATAACTGTTGGTATAACTATAACTGGTGCCGGTATAACTGTTGTTGGTAACTTGGTATAAACGTATAATGGTGTATTGGTGTTGCCGATGTTGGAGTTGGACTGTTAGTGTTGGAGTAGTTGGACAGTTGGAATTTAATTGTTAACCTTGTATAGTAATTTGTTTTGATGTTATTGCCTTATTGGTCGCTGTCGTGTTCATATTGTTGATGTTATTTGAATGTTTTGGGCTCTGAGATTCTGAGAACAGAGAACTGAGAAGTGAGAATCTGATATTAGTGTTCTGAGCCTCTGAGCGATATATGTTTTGCTGTTATTGGGCTGTGAGAACTGAGAAATGAGAATCTGAGCTACAGCTTGCAGCTGATGAAGTGCTGAATGCTGATATATGTGGAATTTTTGCTTGCTGCTGAGTGTTGGCTGTTATAGTGTTCTATTGTTCTTGAGGTTTATAAATTATAAGGTGATGATGAAGAACTTGGTGAAGTTATGCATCAGTTGCGACGCTCAGTTAGATGCAACCGAGTTATAAATTGGTTTGGTTTGAGCAGATACTATTTAATTGAATAGAAACTTATCAATTTGTAACTTTGAATGACATATTTTCTGTTCTTGTTGCAGATGATGTTTCTTTGCTAGGTTCATCCTGAGTCTACGACAAGCCTTTCGTTGCTAGCCTTCTAGGGTGCTAGTAGTCAACAAATTGTTGCTTTCATTTGTTTTTTCTTTTGCAGCCTTACAGGTTAAATTATGTAAATGTAAAGGGTGAAAGACAAAAAGGAGCTCGCCACTCGCCAGGCGCCAGCTTGAGACTTTGACACTTTCAGACTTTTAGTTAATTTGTTAATTGTATTTCTATTTTTATAATATTTTTTTTCTAACTTATATTCCTATAAGTTGTGACTTGTGACAATCAGTCAATCAGTAACTTGTAATCTTGTATTTTATTGTAACAATGCATGTATTTAAGTTGATTTCTTCAGTTCTTGTAAATTGTAAATGTGCATTTTTCCTTAACAGCAAAAAAAAAAAAAAAACATATAAAAACAATTATCGGGTTGCCGGGTCGGGTTAACTCGGCAACCCGCGGAAGGCTAGAAAAATGGGAATTGTTTGGGTCAGCGGGTCGTGTCGGGTCAACCCGTAACCCGCTCGGGTCGGGTCCGGGTTGGAATGTCCGACCCGTTTGCAAAAAACGGTCGGGTTCGGGTTGACCCGTTTAAATTCAGGTTTGGTCGGGTTCGACCCGAACCCGACAGGTTGACCCGAATTGACACCCCTAAGTACAAGATTAGCTTTTTGCTTGGCTTAGCCGTTTTCTGCAAGAGAGAATGAACTCTTTTGATAGTATTTTTTCTTCCAGGGAAGAAGAACAGTTAGCTTTTAGTTTTTACAATCGATAGTTATCACAGTTATTCCTGTGTCTTTGCTTGTGTTTTTTGTGCTATCTGCTTCTTCCGCAGCATACCGCATCACATTGATAGCTTGTCAGTTGTAATAATATAAACAAGTGTCAAATAGTCTGTTAATCCTCGCAAAATTAAAAAGCACTTATGTCCCTATCTGCAACCATCCTGGTATGCATCAAGGAAGATTAACAAACTTTGTTCTTGATATCATCATGTTTCTTTGAATCAATCTACCTAACTCTTTATGCACTTGCTATATGGGAACAATTGATGTATATTTGGATTGGAAAACCTCCTTGAACTCTTCCCAAGAAATTTCATTATTTATCTGTCCTTTGAAGTGAGTATGCTTCTGTGATGTTCTCTAATGCTTTGCATTTCCAGTAAAAACAAAGTTTTCTCAATTGGACAATCCATACCATCAATCTTATTCTCTAATTTGGTAATCCGATCCTCAACCTCCATTGGATTTGTTGTTTCTACAAACCTCTGAGGCTGCAAATTCATGAATATAAACAATCTCCTATCTTAGTTTGATTCTATTAAATTAGGGCTCTTTTTTTTTTTTGCATGACTACAGAAAATGCCTATTCCATGAGCTCAAGCTTCATTACATCAGTCCTACTAGCTGTACTGAAATAATGTTCGAGGGAGTTGACATCTCAGAAACAGAATCTCAAATTTCTCTGACCCTGATATGAAATCAAGTCGCCATGCAACATGATGTGGCTCTTTTTCTTGAGATTGGTCAGTTACTGTCTCTTTACTTCTTTTTTATTGTTGTCCCACCTATAAATGAAAAGAAATCATTCATATTTTTTTATAGTACTCCAGTAGTATTTGACTACTAAGTGACATTTAACTACATATTCTCTCAGCCGAACTTAATCCTTTTGCTTTGATACCAATTTTTAACACCCTTAAGCCGCTTGAAATCGATGAGGGCAACTTGGATTGTATGCGGGAGAAAATCATCCTTCCATATAAGTTAAACTTGCCCGGCTTCCTGAGCTCTCTGTTAAGAAGATCTAAGAAATTGCCATTGTTTAATTATCTCCACAATTAGGACACAAGAACTTCTATAACGACTTGGCTATTGCACAAAAGCATTTGGGATTACCACAAACATTATTCATTCACTAAAGAATATTTGGGACAACAAGGACAAGCATTCATGTTTCTCAGAAATTGAAACACTAATAATACCAAGGGAAAAGCATTATTATACGTGTATTCAACCTCTTGGTTCATTTCAATTTTCAACCATACAATTTCATTCAATCCTTATATGCCATTCATACCATTTCCATGGTCATTCATTCCTTCTTTCATCCATCCATTTCATTTTGCTTTTGGTGCTTTGCAGCTTTCACCCTTGTAATATCGGCAGCTACCATCCATAAATAATATTTCTAGCTCAAACATGTAAGAACATTTCTTGAAGTAATAGAGCCATGCATATTTATAAGAACATTTTCTTGAACATTCATAACATTCTAGTGACATTCCATTCAATTTTATTCATTTCCATATTTATAACATGATTCATAGTGAAGAGCGTAGGATACAAGTATCCAGCACAATAATCATACCAATTAAGCTAGAGCATTGACTCAACATTAAAGCATACAAGTAATAGAGCTAAGAAATTTTATTTCACTTAGGCTGTGAAGATAAACTATTGTTGATTTTAGAACTCTTACCTTTTGATTGCTTCTGGTTCAACCTCTGTTCTGCAGTCTCCTCCATGTTGAGGTGTAGTAAGGCGGGTTCCAACCTTCTACACTAAGCTTCAAATGGTTATTTATAGAAGTTTCCAATAGCTAGCTTTCGGAAATTTGGCATTCTCTAGCCGCTGTCATAAATGTTACCAACGTGATGCTCATACATTTTACATTTAAACTATAAGCCTTGTTAGAGGTTGTATTAATGTCCTTAATTCATGTTCTACACTGGTGAAATCTACCAATACCCTAAAACACTTGGCTTTCCTAGCATATCAACAAACAATTCTCTAGATCTAATTAAGATAGTCTGGGGAAACCTAGAGACTACTTGGGCAACTCCTAAGTTTCTCAGCTAAAGGGAATTCGTCCTTGTCACTTGGGCACAACCTTGCATGGGTCAACAACCCTCAAATCCTCTCAACAAACATCAGGTCTATGTTACGCCGGCCCAGGAGGGGCCGGCTGGACCGGTCCATGTCTACTCGCGACGGAACCGCGAGCAGCAGGCGGAACCGAGCGTGCGAAGCGAAGCCGACGGGGGCCAGGGAAGATTTTTGGGAGGGAAATTTTGAATGCGAGGGGCTGTTTAGACATTTTGTAAAACTCCTTTATGGTTAATTAGGAGTTTTGGGTGTGAATGAGGGATTATCTTGCATTTTTTTGAAGATTGTTGAGATCTAGGTTTTCTTGTCTGGGTGCAATTGCCCCCCTAGTTACAAAGGGGTTCCACGCCTTATCTGGATTTATCTTTTAGGCTTTCCGAAAGAGAGAACTTCCAAAATTAACAGGGATTTTATTTTGTTTTATTTAATCTCTTGAAGAGACTTCATGACTATTAGTATGTTTGTGCTTATACTGGAAGAGAACTTCGAAACCATACAACGTTTTTATTTTATTTTTATTTTTTTAAAAAAGGGTGTTGGCAAATAACACAATTACTTCGCAGTTTATTCTTTCTTACTTTTCATTTGATTCACCTCTTACTCTAGTGACTTGCAAAACCTGTTTAAACTCAAATGAAAAGATTCCTCAGAGCATGCACAATGTTGCCATGCAGTCGGACTGATTTTTCATATATTTTGTGTTCAGATTTTCATGCATAAAGTCATATACCATCTGTTGGAGGAAATTGGCAACTTTATTGTAGAGAAGGCACCGGGGGTAAATGATACTCAAATTGCTGGGGAAGGTGAGGTTCTCAGTATCTTTGAACTCAAAGGTCGAAGTAAATCAAAGGGTCCTGATGTGAAGATTGCTGGGTGCCGTATCCTTGATGGTCACTTCTCCAAGTCTTCGAAATGGAGAGTTTTGAGGAGTGGTGAGGTCGTATACGAGGGTTCATGCCTGTCACTAAAACGTGAAAAGAATGATGTGGATTTTGTTGAAGGAAAGGGTAATGAATGTGGACTTGTCCTTGACTGTGATGATTACAAGGTTGGAGACATTATCCAGTGCGTGGAGGACGTAAAGAGGAAGCCCAGGTTTGTATCATCAGCCAATGGAGCAGTCCGCATCGAGTGTTAATGGTTTTAGTTTGAAGATTTTCGTCTTATTATTATTATTTTGATCCTTTCATATTTATAAGCATTACGGGCAGTGGACACTAAATTAATCGCGGAAGTCGGCGCCTGAGCCTTTTTTTTTTTGCATAGCTTTATTTTCAATTACTTTTGTGCCGAGAAAGGAGAGATTATTCTGTTCGGATACATGACACAGCTTATTGTTCAAAGGCCAATCAGGTGCAGCCACGTCATCCAGTATCGAGCTAGGTACTGAGCCATGGTACCGAGTAAGGAGTGATGTGGCACATTTTAATTGGGCTCTGGACGGCGTTCGGCATCCGCACAGAATAATCCATCATCCTCAGAGCTGCTGACAATCACATCTGCTAGATTGGAATAGCAGTAGAAAAAATTCCGTTTTTTATTTTTATTTTTGAGTAAAAGATCGTTAACTTGTGAAGTAGCTCTCAAAAAATCTATCCTTCCAGAATTCTACAATGAATTTACAGACAGCTGCAGCCAATGTAAACTGACTCTCAATGATAGTCATGAGAAGCAATTCACTTTTTGATTTTATACTAGGAAATTATATGCAATGAAAACTTTGGCTTAGAGTGTTTCTTCTGGCCTTCTGGGGGTCTTGCCTTATTCCATTATGAGCATATAATAAGCATTTTTTTGTACCAAGAGACAGAGGAGCCAAAAATAATTTTATTAATAAATGCATCATGAATATTTATATTTGTTTATCGATTTCATATCCTTTACTGTGGAACAATAAAATTGTATTCCTGGTTGCTTCTGCTGAATCCTCGGTTGGTTAGCTTTGGGTTGTAATTTTCCTGTAAAAGAATTGTACTGTTTTATGCTTTAACTGAGAAAGCTGGATGTATTATGCCTTCGATTGGCGATAATTATTAAGTTTATCTGCTTGGTGATGTTATTAGTAGCATTGAAACGCAGTGGTACTATTTTATTTATTTTTTTTTTCACTTTTTTGAAAGAAAAGAAATAAACTGATCCTTTAATACGTACAGAATTTTCTTTTAAAAAACTACTAATTCAAATGAACACAATAAAATATGCAGAAGCAAATAAATAATCTATCAACATAATTGTAAGTGAGAAATTATATAAAGATATGTTAGGCTAATTCGATGTTGTCCATACTGATAAAATCAAAGCTATAAAAATTCAACATTCTTATAATAATTTGTGGAGGTAACTATATACTTATTTAGAAAACAATCATCTGCATCTCTATAAGCCTAAAAGCACATTGAGACATTTATAAGTGTAATAATAGTTCTTAGTATCAAGTTTTTATGAAGAATCATCTTTTTTTGGTTAGAAATCTCTCTCATTGCATATAAATGGGGGATTGAAAGTTACATTTTTCTAATGAGAGAGCCTATCTTTAGTGTTTTGTAAAGCATATTATTAATTTAGAGGTGGTCAATTTAAGTATATTTTATAATAATTTATTATATTTGTAATTATTGTTTATCATAAGTTAGCATGAAGAATAATTTAATTTTATTCATTAGGATTGAAACGTTTCTAATGTAAAAGAAAATGAAAATTTTAAATGATTTTAATATAAATATATTATTTTAAAAGTTAATGATAAAATATTTTTCATATTAGTAAAGTATACTATCATTAATAATATCATATAACTAAGTTGATATTAATAAGAATGAAAAAAAAAAGCAATATATATCAATAATTATGAAGAATTAAATGATGTATAAATATAAAAAAAATTTATATTAAATAAGAACTTATAATATATAATTTAAGAGATTGCAATTAATATGATATTAGTAGAGGTGTAAATGGATGAATATTATGCGTGATGTTTAGGGAATCTTTTATTGGTTTTGTGGAGTTTTCATATGTCCTTTAGTTAATATATTGGTTGTCATATTCGGAGCTATGATTTAAGGCTATAAGCACTTTCTACTTTCTAGCTAAAAGAATATATGACGCAGCTGAACATTTATTCATGATTGTGAAAATGTTTCTTTTTGGAAGTTTAAGATTATTTCATAATTATAAAAACATAATTATACATAAATCATAAATGTTTTTTCTGTCACTTTTTCATAAGACATAAAAATAATAAAGAATCTATTTTTTTAAAAAAATAGGTTTTATTTAGAATAACTTTCTTATTGCATTTTAAAGTAAAAAAATTTTAGTTTAAAAAAATTTTGTACTAAAAAATTGCTTAAAATAAATGAAGAAAGTTATCCCAATACTTTTTACATCACAACTATAATTCAATTTAGCTACTTATTTTTTATTGCATCTATTTATATTTGCTTGGGATGATTGTAATTTTTTATAAAATAATTATAAATCTGATGTTGAGAAAATAAATTGTTTGAATAGATAATTTCTAATATATATTTTTTTAAACCAACAAAAAAAGGACTCAAACAAAAATTATGATTGAAATATAAAAAACAAAACAATAAAAAAATTGTCCTACATAAACTCCTAGTTACATATCATCTAAAATTTTAAATAACATAAAAATACAACTTTAAAGTTTACACTACTTTGTTCATTTATCCCATCTCGGTTACCCCATTGTTTTTTTTGTAATAGAGATTGATTATATGGATCATCTTAGGCTTCTTTTGAGACAATTTTTTTCTGCTTCTTAAAATAATATTTTAGAACAAATTTTTAATTTTTATACTAAAAAGTTGCTTTAAGAAGCAGCAAGCAATTCCCTTGCTGCTTCTTAAAGCAGCTACGTAGTACTAGAAAGCTTCTTTAAGAAGTAGAAAGAAAGCCGTCTCAAATGAAATCTTTAATCTATTGCTTGAAAGTTTTGACAATCAATTATGAGGTCATGTGAATCTTAATTATGTGATGTATGTGTGAGTTTATTTTTATTGTCCTAAATGTTAAAAAAAAAAAAAGATCAATAACTTGGAAGTGGGAATAATCCTGTATGAGCAGGCAGCCAGGCATTATTACATCACTCTCGCGTAAGCTCAGATCATTAATGATCAAGCCCTAAATGATTACTAAGCTTACCAATATTAATTATCTGATACGAAAACCTTTTTTAATCATTATCTCTTAATGTATTACTCGTGTCACTAACACAACAAAGTGATTTATAATTATTATTTTTTATCACGTTAATAAATCTTAAGAAAAAGCTGATTCTATAATAATATGTATCCTCATGGAAATCAGTTTTATTTTCTTAAAAAACAAAATATTTTAATTTTTATCACAAAAATAGAACCAAATCAGAAATTGAAGGCCGAATTTTCGTTATTAAGGAGAGGGAGAAGCGGTTCCCGGCCTCTTCTTCTCTTTCGTTCGATCCGTTTCTCTCATTCGATCACTTCTCTCTATGTTAATATAAATAGTCTCATTCAATCCGACCGGGCGGGCAATGGCAGTTGCCGTCGGGCCGAAAACCAGCACAAGTCTGCCGCAAAGCCCGAGGCTCTGCCGACCGACGCGCCGCCGTGTACAGGACAACATGGCCGGCGACATCGAACGAGCATATTCCGATGATGACGGCGAGGAGACTCCGCCTGCGGCGGAATGGAGGAGGGGAAGGGGAGGGAGGAGGGGGGCAGCGCTTGTGCTCATGCTCGCCGTGTTAATGCTATTTGGCTTTGCGAGCGTCTTTCAGATGAGCAGAATTACGACCGGTGACGGCGTTCTGCACCACCATCCGATCGCCGGCGACGGCGGCGGCCTTGCGTTCAATGTAGAGATGGACAAGCTAACGGCCATACGAAAGAGTCACGCTCCGGTATTTTTATAACCTTCAACTACGTAAATTGTTGCAGGACCTAAACGAATGTGATTCAGACATTTGTTTTTGTAATGATATTTTTCTTTTTTGTACTGTTCTATACGACTTTGAAAAGAATTTACCGCATAATATTTGATTTTCTTTTTTTTTAAGGAAAATTTCTGCAACATTCCTATCGCCATCTTTTTCAGTGGTACTATTTTAATTATTTAGAGAATATTTTATGATTTTTTACTTTTTTGATTGTCAAAAGATGCATACGCATACATTTTTTTTTTATTAGATTTTGGACTGAATATTTTTATTGAAAAAAATGTATTGTTGACATCACCCTTTTATCTTCCAGTCATTCTCTAGTATTATTATATTGAACATGACCTTTGAGAATTTTTACGCAACATTATTTTCATCTTCATTTTCTTGAGTTCTGTTTCAATTATTGTTAGAGAGGATATTTATGATATTCATTTTCATCATTCTACCATCTCTACAAAAAACTAAAGTGGTAGAAAAGATAGTTTTTATATGCACAATCATGCATGTTTTTTGGGACATTTAGGCCAATTAAGAACACACATCGTATACTCAAAGACCCGAACTCAAGACCTTTTAATTGATAGCAAAAGCTCCCAACCAACAGATCAAGGTGAGCTATGTAGACGCAATCATGCATATTTATTAACACTTTAGTTAGAATTTTAGGTTTACACAGCTCAACTTGATTTGTTGGTTAAGAGCTTAGAATACCAATTAAAAAGTCTTAACTTCGAGTCTTGTGCATGCAATGCATGTGTAAATCTACCTTAATTAGCCTAAATGTCACAAAAAAAAGATTTCAATCAATTTTTAAATAGCTTTTTTTTTTCTAAAATATCAAGCAGCTTTTCATTACAATTTTTTTTAATTTATATTAAAAAACTACTGAAAAAAATACTAAAAAAATCATCTCAAATGAACCCTTTATTAGATGCCATTATGATATCTATATAGTATGTGAAAAATGAAACAGAGAATAAAAATGGAATGAGCTCTAAAAAACCTTTCATTTAAAAGTAAGATTCTCATGCATTAAGAATAAGAGTAATGCTCATACTAAAAATTTATTATTTTATAAAACCAATTGCTAAAATTTTAAAATAAACTGTAAAAAACATTAATAATTTATTTCAAAAAAAAGTTTATTTTATCATACTAGGTGGTATTATATAGATAAAATATAAATGTTATTTGTATAACTACCCCTTCTGCTTTTTTCAAAAGAAAAGAAAGCATAATATTTCGAAATATTATGCTTTCCCTAATCTCTTCTACATTATTGAGTCTTAAAATCTAGCTTTAGCACCAACTAGTTTAATGAGTAAAATTCCTAAAAGTTATTGCCAACATAATATAATTGAATTTTGTCATCATCAAATTTGTGCCTTGACACTCCATTAAAAAATAATAATAATAAAAAAACTTCTAAAACATGATTCAATCCAAGATTTCAATAAGCATATATATGGTGTTAAATGTTGAAGTTCTTGAATGGAATACTTGCACTTTGTAAGGAAAATGTTCTCTTGCTTACAGGTCCCAGAAATATGGAGAAAACCTTATAACGAAGGCTACGAGCAATGCATCTCCAGACCAAAAGATAAAATAAGTAAATCTAGATGCAACCCTCATCCCTCCTTTTACTCATTTATATCTCAATATCTAAACATTGTTACAACACTTTTCTCATTGATAGGACCTGCAACTTCAACCTCGAATGGCTATCTCATAGTTCATGCCAATGGCGGACTGAATCAAATGAGAATAGGAGTAAAATATCCTAAATCAAAATATCCTTTTCATTTGCAGTCATAATACCATCTTCTGAACTAAAAAAAAAAGGTAATTGTGATGATGCAGATAAGTGATATGGTGGCAGCGGCTAAGTTAATGGATGCAACACTTGTTCTTCCCCATTTAGATCATGATTCTTTCTGGAAAGATTCAAGGTACTATATATATAGATATCTATATAGTCTCCTTCAAATTTTTTGTTGGAAAGGAACAAATTTGTGACACTGAAGTATACTAATTTTTCTGTTCTAGTGGTTTCAAAGATATTTTTGACTGGAAGCACTTTGTGAATACATTGAGAGAGGATATTGAGATTGTAGAATCTCTACCACACAAATATGCTGGAATCAAACCACTCATTAAGGAGCCAATCTCCTATTCCAAGGTAATGAATCAACAGCAACTATGGCTGAAATATGTTATATAATGTACTAATTAAATTGCCGCTTCTTCCAGAGCCCGTACTATAGAGACTTTGCCAAAATTTTAAGGAAACGGAAGGTGGTGGTATTCATAAAGACCGATTCTCGAATTGCGAACAATGGACTTCCTCCGTCGATCCAGAGGCTCCGATGCCGGGTTAACTATCTGGCACTGAGATACACACCACAGATTGAAGAGCTTGGGAAGGAACTGGTTGATAGGCTAAGAAATGGAAGCAATCACTACATTGCACTGCATTTGAGGTACCTTCCCCTCCCTTTAAAAGGATATACAGGTAAAGAATCTACTTGTAATTTATGATTAGAAAACGTCATGGAATGACAGATATGAGAAGGACATGCTTGCATTCACTGGTTGCAGTCACAACCTTACAAAGGAGGAGGCAGAAGTTCTTCAATTAATGAGATACCGAGTGAAGCATTGGAAGGAAAAGAGTATAAATGGTGCAGAGAGGAGAATTCAAGGAGGGTGTCCATTGACACCGCGAGAGGCTGCTTTATTCTTAAAAGCCATGGGATATCCATCAACAACCAACATCTACATAGTTGCTGGAGAAACTTTTGGACGCAACAGCATGGCTTCTTTAAAGAAAGAGTATCCCAACATTCATACACATAAAAGCTTAGCAACAGAAGAAGAGTTGAGACCATTCAAACCATACCATAACCGGCTTGCTGCAATCGACTACATTGTAGCCCTAAACAGTGATGTTTTTGTGTATACCTATGATGGTAATATGGCGAAAACGGTGAAAGGTCACAGAAGATTTAAAGGATTCCTTAAAACCATAAATCCTGACAGGTATTTTATACCCCACAATAAAAGCAAGCATGCTCATAGCAAAATGGTTTTTGTTGTAATTTCTCCATGACTATTTGATTTTAATAATATAGGCGGAAGATAGTGGGATTGATAGATAAGTTGGACAAGGGCACCATAACATGGGAGAAATTTGAAGATCAAGTTAGAAGGAACCATGCTAGAAGACTTGGAGGACCATACGAAAGGCAAGCTGGACCCACATCAAAGCTAGAAGAAAATTTTTACGCAAATCCTATTCCTGGTTGCTTGTGCAAAAAACTACACTGATTCATCCTTGAATGACTCAATCAAAGATAGAAAGAAGTCTATAAGAAGATTCTCGATTTTCTGAGACTAAACACAGCATAAAAGGCACAACAAAGCCATTGCAGAAAAAACTGATTCTTCAGGTAAAAATCCAGATCATTGCAACACTCATGGAACTGATTGCACAAGCATGTATAGATTTCGTCATTCTTGGGTGATAAGGAAAGGCCAAGAAAAGAAAATTAACAAACCGTGGTACAGCTGGAGATGGGATGACAGAAAAAGGAAATAAGGACCAAAATCTTCCACTTTTTTTTGTTTAGCCACAGAGTAATAGAGCTTAGTTACTTTTTTCTCTCCTAATTCATTTAAATATATAGTTTACCCAGCATTTGATTCTTGAAATCAACCACTCATAGTAATTATTCAGTTAATATTCTTTGAGTACACCTGGAGACTTTTTAAAATAAATACTCAATATCTCCCTATGTGCAATTCGATCTGTATCTACTTTTATACCCTCTCTTAGTAGCTGGATCATGCATACTTATTTGTAATTTGACTCTACTACATACATAAATTAAAAATTAGCCTTGTGTCCAATGATTAATTTTTATATATATATATATATGAGTACACCTGGAGACTTTTTAAAATAAATACTCAATATCTCCCTATGTGCAATTCGATCTGTATCTACTTTTATACCCTCTCTTAGTAGCTGGATCATGCATACTTATTTGTAATTTGACTCTACTACATACATAAATTAAAAATTAGCCTTGTGTCCGTGATTCCTACCATTCTTAAAATAGAAAGAAAAAAGTAACTGGGATGGATGAAATCATACCTCACTATCCACAAGCAATTGGTTTAATGCCATTGGGAGATGGGGCAATACCCTTGTTACTAATATTTCAACCATGCGATGAAGATATGACGTAACCTGCATATTTTGAAGAAATATTGAGATACATAATGAAATAGGTTGTTGATGCGGACATCGGTACGAAGATTTGGCGCATCTATCACAGGAGGCGTCGCAAATCGACGGCTATCATTTAAACCTTCTATTATGATTTATTTTTCTGAATTTTAGTTCTAAATTAATGTATTTCCTGTTTTACCCCTAGGATAGTTTGTTTGAGTGTTATGGCCCAAGGGGCAATTTTGTAATTTCGATTTTTCTCATATTGGGGCCTATAAATAAGGGCATTAAGCTATTGTAATGAGGATGGTTGATTAATATGAAAAATTTTGTTTCCCACACTTATGTTCTTCTTGTGAGAGAGCGTTAGTGAGATTCCTATGAGAGGAATCTAAGTTGTCACCAGCCGCAGGATGGGTCCGGGCTCGTGATTTGAGTCCCTTGGAGAAGGGAAATCGTATCACCCACCAACCTTGGAGACGGCCGGGTTCGTGGTTTTATTCTTTTCGTTATCTTTTCATTTTCTCCTTGTCGACATCCCCATCTCCTCCTTCCACCGCCACCGGTCCCTTCCTCCTTCCCATCGAACCGCCAGTTTTAACAACCCCTCCATCACCCCAACCGAGAACCCCCACCTTTGCTCCAATTATTAATTGCCTTTCCTAAATTGGAGGGATTAAGTTAACAAAGGATTTGAATTCAAAATTCAAATTTGAATTCAAATTTATTTATTGCTTAATTCATTCTTAATAATTAGGCATTTAATGATGTCATTAATTCTGAAATAAAATCTCAGAATTTTGAATTCAAAAAAATCCCGCCGGCCTCCCTTAATCCTTCCCTTGTAATCAATTTAGGGAAGAGTTCTTCATTAATGCAAATTTGAATTCGAAAATTTGAATTCGAATTAGGATTATTCACCCCATTAATCTCTCCCACCATTTAAGCCAATCGTCATTAATTCTCAAATTTGAATTTAAATTCAGATTTAAGACATTAATTAATCATTACCTATTCTACTTCCTAAAACCAGAATTGGAATTTGGAAATAAAATTTTCCCACTTAATTCTATTCCCGTAACCCACCAATGTCAAACCTGTCACGGGATAATGCAAGTGGATTTCCCAATTTAATTTCCATTTAATTTTCCCTGTGGTCCCGCCGTTTCCCTCTCCTCCTAAATGCTTTAGCAAGAAATTTCCTTCACTCCAAAGCTTTACTCTTATTTCCTAAAATCAGAAATCATGTTTTGGAAATAAAATTCCCTCTTTTTCCTGTGACCCGTCTCTCCCCTCCCTCTCATAACTCCCCTCCTCCTTTACTTCCCTTTGCTGGAACTCCATAGCTCTTGCTGCAAGTCCTTCCTCCCCACACATAGAGTTGGGATTCCTTTCAGATTTCTGAAAGCAGAAAATCTGAAATATTTCAGATTCCATTAAGAAGAATCCCCTCCTTTGCAACGCCTCCTTTTTTCCGTTCTACATCATGAACAGTAGTGTACATAATTAGACCTGATATTGATATCGGTATTCATTTCATACAGATGCCGTCATTTAATGGTAGATTCTCTATGATTTCAGGTGGGAAAAATCATAGCGGCCACGCTTTGGCATATTGTTGAGTAATATAACTTTGGCACAGAGGTAAACACAAATCAACACAAGATTGATAGCATACATGGGATGCTTATGAATGAATCAATTATGACCATAAGAACACGCAACAGAGAAACCAGGAAACTATAAGGCTTTCATGACATTGTATAGCTCAAGTGATATAATAATGGGATATTATAGGCAGACAGGTAAGTAACAGTGAAATTATTTCAGGGTAAATTTAAAAAGTTTAAATAACTATTTTACATTAGAAAATTTTGAAGCCAACTAATCTGGCATAATTATCTAAATTTTAGGTTATAGCTGCCTAAGAAGAGTCGACAAAAGCATGCACTGTACAGTGGAATAGGATTGTGGATTCCTCAAATCAGAGGGCTTTGAAAGTAGAAAGTAAAACTTCAATGATCTAGAGGGGCAAGGAAGGCTTTGATTGATGGAGGTCTACTCAAACTATCACAGCTGTCTCAGCAAAATAGTAAATGAAATATATAAACAACCTATGGAGCATATAGCTACAATTTGGTCCATCTAAACATCAAAATCCACGCAGTACAATGATAAGTGCTATTGGGCAGGTCTAGCTGGCCCTACTAGGTGATATATTATATTGTGCTATTGGGCAGGTCTAGCTGGCCCTACAAAGTGATATATTAGAGTGCTCCCCATGAGCGCATGGGGTAACTTCTGCTAGAGTATGGAGAAAGATCAATGTAGTTGGTGGTCGAGAGACCACCAGAGGGATCTTGGCCAATCGGGATAAAGTCATGATCCTTGCGGTTAAGATAAAGCAAAGAAACGGTGGTTGTATTTCCCTTCGAAATCTGGAAAGAGAAAGCAAATCCATAGCACAATTCATCAATTTCATACTTCGACCTTGCCTTGTTCTGCAAGGATCATTTTGAAACCAGCAGGAAGTTATCAAAAGGAGCATGGTGGTCGTAGGAGAAGATTCTATAAAATTTTCAAGTAGCAAATAGGCCTTCCCAGTCAGCCGTACCCTTCATCATGCATTTATCATTTGGTGTGTCAGTTTGGAGCATATTATACATGCCATGGAAGCACAAACTCTAATTAACCCACTTAATCTAATTCTCTAGTTCATAAATAACAACTCTTCTGGACAAGAAGGAAACAATTCTTATCATCGTTTGTCCTGGCTTGGGCATGCTCTTGACTTTGTTCAAGGTTTTAGCTTCATTTGACACAAAATTTTGACTGCTGCTGTAACACTTTTCGCGCATTATTTTAAGATTTGCTTTGAAATACTTGATTTTGAGAAAACAGAAAAGAAAAAATAGTGAGACGCTTTTATCAGCTCTGGTGAGTGTTGATATGGTTATTTTAGCTGTAGTGATAATCTTCCGCAAAGGTGATGAAAAAAATGGCATTGATGCCTTTTGTATAGCAAATTCAAGAATCAATTCTATAAAACACATGTCAATTTGCCACTTAAGGTATGCATATACCTTCACACAAAACATAACACCTGATGTTTGGATATTCAAGATCTTAGCATTCATGCTTTGTTTTGTTTGCTAAGAGAGAAATACGTGGCTTTTATAAATCTTTGTTTACTTCTGTGCTGCAAGTGCGTCTAGCTAGTGGTTATCACTGCATAACTAAATGCAACAAGTTTAAAATAATGCTGAAAATTTATGTGGTAATTCAACAACAGCAAATTTTCATTTATGGTTTTTGATTTAGAGAGTTATTCCCTAAGATGCACGGACACAGTGACATGACTTGGAACAAGTACAGCGCGTACACGACATTACAAATGTTTTTTAAATAGTGTATAAAAAATTAGAAATTAATGTAACATCATATTAGAAATGACAAACAATACAAAATCAACGTCATAATAACTTTTCTAGTTTACAATATAAAATGTTTAGTACAAAATGTCGAGTATGACCGACATTCTGTATCTAATATTTTTTTATTCTCTAACCTTCCTTACTAAGTAAAGGTTAGCGGGAATACAAGGGGAAAAAAAACCATAAACAATAAATAAATTGGTAAGTATAATTTGCTCACTTGCTTGCGGAAATAAAAAATACTAACAATCTATACTCTAATCGAACTTATCTGCTTCACTCTCCCTCCTCTGGCTTTGACAGAGCAAACACAAGAGTCGTAACCTTTGATGCCCTCGATGACTGCATAAATGGCGAAGACGAACAAGTGAGAAACCTAACGAGTAAAGGGAATGATGAGAGAACAGCTTTAGTTGGACGTACTGGGCTTAAAATAGCACAGTAGCCTGCTCGGTTCGGCTCGCCTCATCGCATAAATTATGAAGACTAGAAGAAGACAAGAAGACAAGGAGGTTTCGGGCTTCAGTTGTGCGCTCCCTCAGCTCATTCGGCTCGCCTGGTCGCACAAACAAAGAAGATGAGGCAAAAGACCAGGGAGAGCGACGAAAACCTAAGGCATACGGCAGTCGAGCATGTATTGATGCATATACGGTTCGAATATCCCCTTAACACAATTTATTTGATTAAAATAATATAAAAAGTCAAAATTTTGTAATTTAAATAAAATTTAATTATAAAAAATTATGATATGGGTGTAGGACACGCGGACACCCGTGTTTATTTAAAAAATTATGATAGGGAGTTGTCTTTCTACCTTGCGGACGAGGTGGGTCTTTGGGAGGGGAGTATTGTTAGACAGGTCCAGCCGGTCTCACGCTAACAAAGGCGGAACTTCTCCACCTCCCGTATGTGTCGATCGCACTGCCCAGGCCAATTGAGCTATTTAGGAAGGATTTTTGAGGGAGTTAGGAGAGAAATTTGAATATTGGGACTATTTAGAGATTTCTTTTTGGATTGTTTGCATTAAATAGTTTGTTTTCCTAGGATTAGGGCATCTTTGAATTTGGCTGAAATTTGAGCTCTCTGAGGTTTTGGGCTCTAGCGACATCTAGAGAGTTGGGAGAGCCGGATCTTCCTCTCCAATTGAAAATCCACTTGTATCTTGTATTTTGTTTCATAAAACTTTCAATAAAAAAGTGTTCTTGAGTGTTATATTCTTAGTTTTCTTGTTGTTGGTTTTTCTAAAATTGTTGAAATTAGATTTCAACCAAGACTTTTCCTAAATTTCTACAAGTACTTCCTATAAGAACTTCACAACATGTCCATGAAAGACCTTACTATGACACAATACCTATTAAAAATAAAAACTAAAGTGGACGTCATTGCTATTACTGATGCCTCTCTACCTAGAGGATATCATTCTTTACACCCTTAATGGTCTTCCATCCAATTATAAAGCCATTGAGATAACCATCCACACCAATCTTGAGCACTTGAGCACGAGTAAACTCTACTCAATTCTTTATAGTGAGGAAACAAATCTTGCACTTGCCAATAAATTTCCACACAAGTTTCTGAACTAGACTCAACTTGCTCTTGCTACTGCTCATGGTTGCATACCTAGATGCTCATGTCCTACCTACAGTGGATGGCCACAAGCACCTCCCATCAATCAGGGTTGCAACAACCTACCACCACCTAAAGCAGGGAAATAACATTACAGTAACCTAATTTACCAAAAATGTGAGAGGAAATGTCATTTTGCTATTAACTGCTAGTATAGGGCAGACCACAAGTCATATCTAACCACCCAATCAGCCCTCTTTACCAACCACCCAACACCAACTCCGATTGGTATCTAGATATTGGCACATCCTCTCATTTTGAACATCCAACTCTCCAATGTCAAGCCATAAACTAGCAGCCAACAAGTGACGGTTTGAAACAGCTACACTCTACCCATCTCGCACATCGGATAAGGCCTCCTCCTTACCTAATCTCGTAAGTTAATCCCTCAAAACATTAATCATGTCCCTAAGGAAAAATACAATCTCCTTTTGATTCACAGATTAACCAAAGACAACTCCTATTTTGTTTCATTTGATTAGCATGACTACTATATAGAGGCCCCAATAAGGGTAAGTACCTCAATGCAGTGTACATTGTCCAAACTCCATCACCAATTGCTCAGCCTTCCAAACCGATTGCCATCATGTTAGCTCACTCTAAATTCGAACTCTGGAACCTGCATTTAGGACTTCCGACAGGTCTCATACTTAAATCCTTAGCTACTTCTATTTCTGAACTCTATAATCTTCCCAATCTATCTTTATGTAATGTAAGTCAAGTATCAAAAAAGTCATAAATTGCCATTTTCTAAAACTCTTACTCATACTGTTTTATACTGTTTTGCCTGTCGAACAAATTCATTTTGATGCCCCGTCACTTCAACACAAGGCTATAAATACTATGTATTTTTTATGATGACTATTTTTAATTTTTTTGGGTGTTTTTCATGAAATAAAAATATAAATCACCGTTCTATTTCTCCATTTTAAAAATCTTGTGAAACAGCAATTAAATCATACAATTAAAATTTTGTGAATTAATGGGAGAAGTGAATTGATGGGGACATCAGATTTCGACACGTGTACCATCGCCGACGGCGCAGATTGATGGCTACGATGCACAGCCTCTATTTTTGAGCTTGTAGCTTATGTCATATTTTCTTTTATTATTATTATTAGTTTATTTTCCGAGTTTGCCCCTGAGGGCATCTTTTGACTTATGTAGCCCCGAGGGCATTGTGGTCTTTTCTTTTTTTTCTTTCATTTGGAGCCTCCATATATGAGGCAATATGCATTGTATTTTGGTAGTTTTTTTTTTTTTGAAATGAAAAATATTCTCTTTTGTTCTCTTTGTGAGTGCACCTCCTTTTGATCTCTTAGTGAGTTCAAAGGGAGAACTAGATCTCTTCGTGAGTTCTAGATTTAATCCCAGATCATTGTGTGGAGGAATAGTTGGAAGAAATTCAAAGCGAGGGAAATCAAGACCAAAGAAATCCTCAGATTTCTTCAGCCAGGCCGCCACCTACAGCAGCCCATCTCGCCCCTTGCAAGGTCGACTTCCGCCGGCCACAGCCCCGCCCACCCCTGGCCAGTCTCCCGCCGGCCACAGGCCTTCCACTCGCCGGCCAGCTTCCTGCCAACCAGCCCGTGGATCCATCCCGCCGGCCTTTGGAATTTTGGGATTTGAAATTCAAATCCCTCATGAGCCTTTTATTGCTTTCCTTATTTACTTCCTAGAATCTAGCCAACTGATTTAATTGAGTTTTAATTCAATTCAAACGGTTGTCTAAATCCCCTCCAATTAAAGGAAAGTTTCCTTTTCCTGAAATCTGTTTTATTACAGATTTGTATTCAAAAATCTGCTAATCAATATATGGTCCCCACTTTCTTAATTCTTTTTTTTTCTCCCTCCTCTAGTTCAGCCGACCCCCATCATGGAGTCTTCTCTCTCTCCTAATCACCCCATTAACTCCACAAATTCAGCCCCTAAAATCCTCCCCATTAACCGCCCCTTTCTCCTCTTGGATTTAATTTCTCTGGAACCTGCATTTAGGACTTCCGACAGGTCTCATACTTAAATCCTTAGCTACTTCCATTTCTGAACTCTATAATCTTCCCAATCTATCTTTATGTAATGTATGTCAAGTATCAAAAAGTCATAAATTGCCATTTTCTAAAACTCTTACTCATACTGTTTTATACTGTTTTGCCTGTCAAACAAATTCATTTTGATGCCCCGTCACTTCAACACAAGGCTATAAATACTATGTATTTTTTATGATGACTATTTTTAATTTTTTTGGGTGTTTTTCATGAAATAAAAATATAAATCACCGTTCTATTTCTCCATTTTAAAAATCTTGTGAAACAGCAATTAAATCATACAATTAAAATTTTGTGAATTAATAGGAGAAGTGAATACTGTTGTCACACTCTTCAAACTACTTTGAAAATCTTGGCATCATCCACAAGCATACTTTTTCGTACACTTTGAAGCAAAATGAGGTAACTGAGTGTAAACATCCCCACCTTATTGAAATTGTAATAAGACTCATGCTAGATGCCGACCTTCCTCGTCATCTCAGGGCCAAAGCTCTCCTCACAGAAGGACTGCAACCTATTTAATTAACCATCTCTCTTCTCCAATCACTAACAGCATACCTCCCTATGAGCTTTTGCACAATCATCCCCCATCTTACTTGCACATTCGAACATTTGGATGTCTATGTTGTAATCTGTAGCCAGTCTCTTCCTAGACTATGCTGCTCAATCAAAGAGTCACATTCCAACCTTACTAACAATACAAATATTTATATCTTGCCATATTATTTTTAATGAAAAATTATTCCGGTTTGCTCATCACCTTAGCTTCACCCCATCACCACCCAATCAATCCCAAGCACCCGTTCTTATATTGGTCCTCATCAGGGGCGGAGCCAGAAAAAATTTTTAATGGGGGCACAAATTTATACTAGTTATCACCACCCAATCAATCCCAAGCACCCGTTCTTATATTGGTCCTCATACATTAGGAAACACATCAAGTCCGAAACCATTACTGCTTATCACATAAACACTAAAGATCAAGTTGCAGATTAGTTCACAAAAGCTTTATCCAATGGTTGGTTCTCATACTTATGCGACAAGAAGATGTTCTCCGCTCATCTTGAAAGGGGATAAAAACTGGTCCTGCTCAAGGAAGAAGTTGTTCTCCACTTTCTCCATCTCCTGTACGAAGGTTTTCATCACCATTCACTATTAACTTCTCATTATATCCATTGTTTCTTTGTCACAGCTTTAGGTACTTTCCTATATAAAGAGGGCAAGTGCTCACCATGATGTATGCGGTATGAAGATCCTTTCTAACTTTTAATACTCTCAACTACGTCTAGATTTCCAACCTTACTCATTTTGTTTGTTTATAAGAACAACATACGACTAAAACAATACCGACAATGAGAAGTGATTATATCATTATACAACATTCATAAATGAGAAGACAATTGATTTCAAGACCGAAATGCTTGATCTATATGTTATACGTAACAACAACATAAGACACATGGAAATCGAAAGCCGCGTCCTTCTTAAATTCCTTTCTTGGGAGATTTACATACATACCACTTTATTTCATGCTATTAACATAACTAACACACAAAACATTAATATTACATGTCAATCACTCATATAATTCATTTTTACCATTCATATCATCCTACAAATTTTAATATTTCATTCCATGCACCCAAATTTGTTCTATGGGTGATAAGCATGTAATATTAATATTTTGGGTGTTAGATATGTAAATAGCATGAAATAAAGTGGTATGTATATACATCCCCTTTTTTTCAAATAATACGATGGGAAACATGCGGCGTGCTGTGCAACTGTGATGTAATGGTTAGCCTGATGGTGTTTAATGATGCATTTTATCATTGATTTTTCAGCTGACAAATGCATCGCTTTTTGCAGATTGAATTGGATTAGTTAATTCTCAAAGAACTACAGTAACATGCAGTCGATTTATCAGTAAGAGTAAGAAAAGAAAAGCAGTGGAAAGCGCAGTGCCTGAGCAAACATAGGCAAAATACTATACAATGAATTCAGCTTCTAAAATCATAAACATAAACAAACACAGAAGATAACTGATTCAAAGTTCAATAAGGAAAAGCTCGATTTATATAAGGTTTATGCAACAACAGCAAAATGATCCACAGAAATAGAAAGCTGTACGTATCATTCGATGGGAAGCATGACCTCGTTCGTCCTCAGAGGAGGCAGAGTCCATGGCGGATTATACCTGGCAAGCACATACTCTCCAACCACTTTATAACCATCCCTTTCCAAGCTCCTCCTCAACCTCTCCGCTCTGTCCGCCGTGGTTGCCTCCGTCGCCAGGCCGCTGAATCTCACAACCCCATACTTCCTCTCACCTTCCTCCCTTATCCTCACCCTCTCGTCCGTCGGCCGCGGCGCATCCTCCGCTTTAGCGTAATTAGCCGGTAGCACGAATTGCATTGTCACCGGCGCCGATCCTCCTCCGCCGCTTGTAACGACGGGCGCAGTCATGGCAATCTTCTGCGGCGAGTGGGTGATGACGGGAGCCGTCATGGGGATTTTCTCGGGGCGGGAGTTTTGAGGTTCGCCGACGGCGCCAATATAGTTGGCTAGGATCATGAAGCCGGCGTCGCGGCCGCCGAGAACGGCGGGGTCGTAGGTGACCTCGGCGAGTACTGAGGGAGCATAGGTGCGGATCTCGTAATCGGCGGCTTTATGGATGAGTTGGTATTTAGGGGTTTCAACGGAGATTTTGCCCAGGATCAGCCCCATTAGACTGCAATCTGCAACTGGAAATTAGGTAGGGGATTTGCTCTTGGCCTGCCGGAAAGTGGCGTTATGTATTCGACCTGCGTGGGCTATGGGCCGATGGCCTTCGTTCGTTGCTGCAACGGAGCTCCTGGATTTCATGCGTCCACGTCTCCAAGCTCTCACAGCCTTTTACTTTTGGACTAATCGTTCCGTCACCCAGGATAAAATTTTTAAAGTTGGCAAGTTTTATTTTATTTTATTTTAACGAGGGTATCTATTCGCTGTTATTTTAAAGAGAATGCGGCGGAATCTAGCGAGCCCATATTTGTTTATCGTAGTAGAGGGATTAGTTATTTTTTTCACTTGAGTAGATCTATGCATCAAGTTTTTAATTATTTTGATTCTGTAAATTACAAAATTACTAGAAGAAGATTTTTCCTTCTTGGTGCTTGATATATCATCAAAAAGTTATTTTGATCGGGCACGAATCTTGAGGCAAAAATCAAGCAGGAAACTTCAAATATTAAATTCGGAATTACCTAAACTATGATTTCAACAAACTTACAGTCAAATTGAGCGTCTCGGAAATACGAACCCAACGACACCAAATTTGGCTCAATATGAGCCCAAATGAGTCCAAATCAAGGACCCGAAGCGCTGTTGGAAGCTTCGTACCACAATTTTATTTACCAAACGGTTTCCAAACATGAAGAGTTTATAATCGAATCAAGCGTGTCGACGAGATGAATCCAACGAGCCCAAGATCGCCGAATTCCAAAATCATTAAGACCTCCAAATGTCTAATAAATAGTACACGATCAAGGGATTCAATAACGGCCGTCCATCCAACCACTCCCCATTTACCCTTGATCTCTCACCTATTTACGGGCCATGCCACTCCAGAAATCTATAAATAGTCCCTCATTTCTTTTGAAAGGGGGACCGAAGCAAGAAGAGAAGAAGATAAGTGAAGGAGGAAGCTCCTCATCGACCACCGTCGGAGTTTCGCCGGACCACCGCCGGACATTCGCCGGAGCACCACTTGAGGCCCTCACCTCCGCCGGACCACCGCCTGACGCCGTTGCTTCGCCGGACCACCACTTGAGGCCCTCACCTTCGTCGGACCACCGCCTGACGCCGTTGCTCCGCTGGACCACCACTTGAGGCCCTCACCTCCGCCGGACCACCGCCTGACGTCGTTGCTCCGCTGGACCGCCACTTGAGGCCATATGCTCCACTAGAACATCACCTGAGGCCCAGACTTTCGCCGAACCACCACCTGAGGCCTAGACTTCTGTTGGGCCACCACCTGATGCCCAGAGTTCTACCAGAGTACCGCCCTACTACAATGGTCTTTCTGACCTTGGTCTCCTACAAATTATGGTCCTTCCGACCTTCATCTCCAGACAACGATATTTCTGACCCTTGTCTCCTGCCGACTACGGTCCTTCTGACATCCGCCGCCTACTATGGTCCTTCCGACCTCCATCAACAAACTACGGTCTTTCGGACCTCTATCTCTTGCCGACTATGGTCCTTTTGACCTTTATCACCTACTACGGCCTTTTCGACCTACATCGGTAGACAACGGTCTTTTCTCTGTCTCCTGCCGACTACGGCCCTTCCAACCAAACAAACATGTCTATGTTGATTATTGTAACTCCCACCATGTAATGTGCTCTATATGACGTACATTTGTAACATCAAGCTAAGGCATTCTCCCTAAGAAGAGCCTCATTTGTAATCAACTGCAAATACTAGTGGATTCATTCAAACTGGGCCAGGGCCCGTGGTTTTTCCCCTTTTTCAGAGGTTTCCACGTAAAAACTCTTGTGTCTCTTATGAACGCTACACCCTCTCACTTATCTGATTGTGTGTTGGATCTTCGTACAATGCTAAGACGTTAAACTATATATTTCTCTACTGTCGCGAATACTCCAGGACACAACAGTGTTCATATTTCAGCTTATTTTATCCGTCAAGAAAGAAATAACCCATCGTTGAATTGAAAAATATGTACCAGTTTTAGAAAATTTGGCACTGCGTTTTGAGCCGTTGATGTTAGATATGATTGGTATAGAAGGAGGTTGTTTGGTGATGAGATTCGAGGAAGCAACTACAGAGATGAGTTTGAAATGTACGAGAGGAAGGGAGTAGGAATTTGGTGGGATGAAATGGTAGTTTGTAGTGACTCTGAGGTGGAGGAGAGATTGTTAGGTGCGGAGTGCGGATGGGGAGAACCGTTGGCACAAGCCTTATTCCGCGCTAGGTACCGGCACTCGGTATCATTGGGTACCGCTGGGTACCGCTAGGTACCCATGTTTGTGTGGACGGTGCACACTCCGCACCTAATAATTTTTTGAGGTGGAGGTATGGTGGAGCGTGCTTGACGAGGAGTGTAAAGCTACTGGGGTTTCGACCATGTGAGGAGTTGGGAGGTGATGAGAATGGGAGATGACATAGTTGGTTTAAATAATGATATTTTTTAAATTTTGAAATAATGACTATGTTCAAAATTTTTTATATATTTACAAATAATTATATCATTATTATAAATATTTAAATATAATAAATATTTACTACATCATCCGATTGGACCACGACAGAGTAATCGAATCGTTAACCTCTCCATCTTTCTATTCGTTGTCGGATTGCCTAGCTTAAAACAACAAATTTACACCAGATATTTTTCTTGTTGGCCATCTTTGAGATCACTGATGACTTATCAGATTTTGGGGCTTTTCATTGCCCATCTAAGCTATCTTTGAATATATATATATATATAGTTTCTTTATCTATTAAATATAATTGTAATCTCTATCAATTTTTTTTTTCTTTTGTACCTCTTAGTAGCTCTGTGTATCTGAAAACTATAATCATATTGTAATTTTGTTCTTCATAAAAATGCTAGGCGAGCGTGACCCGCAATTTCTCTAAAAAAATACTTTTTATAATACTTAAAAGTATCCTAAATAAAAAAATTATAATATCTATGTCAAATTAATAAATTAGATGCAATTTTTTTGTTCTTTAAAGTTGTAAAGAAAAAAAGAATAAATTTTTTCTTCACCTTGTGTTTTTTTTTCTTTGTACGCCTTTGCTCTCAATCAGATTTAAATTTATGCTTGTTGCGGACTAGAATATACGTGACGATAGACTTATAATATTATGTCTTAGCATTGTATGGATATCCAGCTCACACATAGAGAACACAAGAGTTTTTATGTGGAAAACCCTGGAAAGGGGAAAAAACCACAGGGCCTAGTCTAGTTTGAAATGATTCCACTAGCGTTTGGATATATTACAATGGGTTGGCTTATCCTTGAGGGTGATCATATTACAAATATCGAATGCATAGTTGAAATCTAGTGACAAATGATGATGAAGTCTGGCATCACTTGGTGGTCTTGCGGAAGTCTAGCATTACTTGGAAATTCGGGCATGAGGTGGTGGTTCGGTGAGATTTTGGCATTAGGCGGTGGTCCGTCGGAACTCTGGGTGTCAGGCGGTGGTTCGGCGGAACAACGGGCATCATGCGGTGGTCTGGCGGAACTCCGGGCGTCATGCGGTGGTCCGGCGGAACTTTGGGCGTTAGGTGGTGGTCTGGCAGATCTCTAGGGTCAGGTGGTGATCCGGTGGAACTCCAGGCCTCAATTGGTGGTCTGATAGAACTCCAGGCCTCAAGTGGTAGTCTGACGGAACTCCGGCGTCAGGTGGTGGTCCGGTGAAACTCCAAGCATCAGGGGGTAGTCCGGCGAAACTTCGGGCCTCATGCGATGGTCCGACGGAGCTTTGGGGTCAGGCGGTGGTCCGGCGAAACTTCGGGGGGTCAGGTGGCGGTCCGGCGGAACTCCGACATCAAGTGGTGGTCCGACGAAACTATGGGCTGTGGTTAAGGAGGAGTTAGCTAGGGGCAAGAGCGATATGTGATATCTATCATGCTCTCTTACTTGGGGTCCCCTTTTCAAGAGAAAGGATGGTTTTATATATAGATTTCAGAGAGTGGCATGTCCCGTAAATAGGAGAAATATCTGGGGTAAATGGGGAGTGGTTTGGATGGATGACCGATGTTGAATCCCTTGATTGTAGACCGTTTGTTAGTCATTTGAAGGTCTCAATGATGTCAGAATTCCATGATCTTGATGTCAGTTAATATTTTACTCACTCAAAATGTATCATCAATTTAAATATCTCAACGCATTATATATTTGTTTTTTAATAATATAATATTAAGGTCTGTTTGGGATGATATCAACTTTTTATGAAAGTGGATATAAATATGGGGCAGAAAAATACTTTTTTTTTAAATTAAGAAATAATAAAATAATGACCGAATAAAAATTATAAATGTAGTTTTAAAAAATAAAGAAGTAAGAAAATTGTCTCAAACAAATCCTAAATCCTAAATCGTTAAGTTGTTAAAACAGTGTTTTAAATTATAATTTCATATTTTAGGCTTGGTTTGGGATAGCTTTCTTATTACTTTCTAAAGCAGTGTTTAGATAAAAAATTTTTGTAATCGAAAGCTATTTAAAAAAATAGTAAAAAACTATTCCAAACAAATCCTTAATTTATGTTTTATAGATATTAGTTTTAGTGTTATTAACAACACACCTCAATCAGCATGTAGCACATGGAAGCACACTCCAGTAACGACACAAGAAAGACCCACCGTAGGATAATAACAACTCTGATTAATCACAGCCATACACTTGTAAAGGTACCACACATACACTTATATAAGTAGACCTCGCTGCTACTATAGTATGGACCAAGAAAAGCTATTGCATCAGAATGGAAAGTCTGATACTATTATGAGTATTTTCTTACTGTTGCTTTCTCTGCTCTTGTGTTTTTTTACTTCTTGAGATTGTCTTTATGGTATCAGAGCCAACTGGCTCATCATTCTAGTTTCCAAAATGACACAATCTCCATTATCACACACTGGTGAAATATCCACAAATGCTTAATTTGAAACCATCACTATACCTTTCTCAGTCAAGTTCCTCATCTCCAACATCAAAACTTTAGTTCCCACCCATCTCTCCAATGACAACTATCCTACATGGAGGTCATAGATGCTGAAACTATTCAGAGCCAATAACTATGTTGGATTTCTCAATGGCAGCTCCACTGTTCCCTCCTGCCTTCTATAGCTACCCAACGGCACTGCTTCAATCAATCAAGCTTACATACACTGGACACTAGTAGATCAAAATTTGTTAGTTGCACTGTGCTCAACAATCTCCTCAAGTGTGCTTCCTTATGTACTGAATCTTGACAACTCTTTAGAAATCTGGCTAACTCTAGATCGTCGACTATAGGCTAATAACCGCTCTAACGTAATACAGCTTAAAAACAAACTGCATCACATCACCATGGGACAGATGATGATGCAACAATATCTTACCAATGTGAAAATATTGGTAGACAATATCGCCTCTGCAGGATCTTCTATTGACAGTGAGGATGTACTTCTCTATACACTCAATGGATTATCCCCACAATACCAGACGTTCAAGACAGCCATTTGCACCAAGCTAACATCATTAAGTTTAGAAGATCTCTATTCACTACTTATTAGTGAAGAAATTAATCTCACATTTGAATCGGCTAAAGAAACAATAGCTCCCAACCCTCATGCATATTTATATTCTAGTCGAGGACGTGGATGGTCAAGAGGTCACAGACGAACTTCAAACATTGGAGCAAAATCACCAAATCGACTAGTTATCATATGTCAAAACTGTGGAAAAAGAGGACATTATGCAAATCAATTTTGGCATTATTTGAATCTTTAGTATCTGACTCTAACTGCAAAACCAAGCACTTGTTGCATCAAACACATGCACCACGTCTGACTGGATCCTGGATTCTGGAGCATCTGCTCACATGACTAATAGTATGGACAATCTCAACTATGTAGAAGATTATTGTGGCTCATACAACATCTCAATTGGAGATGGTCAAAGCCTGCCAATTGCTCACTTTGGCAAAGGATTACTTCCTACCCCGTCACGTACGATACGCCTCTCTCAAATTCTTCATTTACCTCACCTATCTCACAATCTTCTTTCAGTATCTAATCTTGCCAATGATAATGATCTTACCATGCATATTCCTTGGCTATGCCATCAACTACAAATGCTATAAATGTTTAGACCCAATATCAGGCCGTGTGATCATATATCGCCATATAAACTTCAATGAAGCCATATTCCCATATTCTATCTCCACCAGCTCCACGAGTTCTTAGCCTACCACCATAAACCCCAACTCTCATCTCCTAGTCCCCAACTTTCTTCTATCATCATCCATCCCACCAATTGCTCCCATACATTACCAACAAATGGCTCCACTTACATCCTCACACCCCTCTCCTTCTCCAAAGATCCCAGCATTATCCCCTCCTCTATCACTTCCAATACATTCACATCATCTTATGGTTACTCCTCGGCAACCCGGTGTCACGACCCAACCCGACCGGGACGGGTCCCGCTCGCATCGGGTCGTGAGGCCGGAACTTTCAGACTGACTGAACTGATTCCAGGATCTGGCTTTGGAATTTGTTTCAGAACTTTCTTCCAAACATTACACACAAAAACAGACACACAGAGCCACTATAAACATCAAAATACAGCGGAACAGATCATCTATCTTTTTCTTCCTCAAAAAATCATGTACAAATACAGCTCATGGCTTTCAGACAGAAAGAAAGACATAACAGAAAAGCCATGACTGTATAAAAATCAAAAGGACAAAATACCTATACGGAATCAGACTATGAACTTATATTCCTGGACTTCCTTCCCCTTCCCAGAACTTGAAAACCACGCAGAAAATAAGGATGAGCTACAACAGCTCAGCAAGACATCAAACCTCCAATCAAAATCCTCAGAGTCCACATCAAACACATCAGACAGAAATCCGTACAGAAATCGAAACAGAATCGTATATCAAATCAGAACAGAATCAGAATCGTACAGATCAAATTAAATCAGAACAGAACAGAAATACATCATATCAGAGCTGACAGAAAGTACAAAAATCAGAATCAGATCATATTAGAACAGGCAGAATCAGAATCAAAATACAGATCAGAAATAAGAAATCATATCAAAAGTCAGAACAGATTAAATCAGAACAAATATTTCAGAACAGCTCTTCATTCCAGATTTCAGAACTTCCCATTATATCTCCCTTGTGCATACATCACCAGAACTTCCCCTTATAGCTCCCTTGTGCATACAGCACCAGAACTTCCCCTTATAGCTCCCTTGTGCAGATAGCACCAGAACTTCCCCTTATAGCTCCCAATTGTGCTCATAGCACCAGAACAGAACAGATATACAGAAATTCAGAACTTCACAGAACTTCCCCTTATAGCTCCCTTGTGCATACAGCACCAGAACTTCCCCTTATAGCTCCCAATTGTGCTCATAGCACCAGAACAGAACAGATATACAGAAATTCAGAACTTCACAGAACTTCTCAGAACTTCCCCTTATAGCTCCCTTGTGCTTACAGCACCTTCCCCTTATGGCTCCCAAAAGTATACAAAATCATAACATATCATTTCAGAACAAATCCGGAGAAATTCAGAAATCGTACGAAAATCCGGCAG